GGGGGGGGGAAGGTTGAGTGGGAACAACCCAAACTACATAGATACATAGAGAGTTATCCTTTATAGCTAAATGGAAAAATTGTAACCGAGAAAAGGTATAGAAAAAGAGAGCTTCAGATTAATATGTACACCTAGCTCTCTCAGAATCCAAAAAAGGGAGAACAAAACTATTCTAGGAACATCAGGGTTTAAATCTTCCACCTGAAAACAAGATGAAGCAGGGACTTCCTTCAAGAGTTTGTGGCATAAATTAAAATGGTTTATAGTGTTGGCCTCATATTCCACAGACAAATATTTTATGATTGCTGCAGTTATCCAAGTCTCTTCCTCCTGTATCATATATTTTGTGTGGACATTTCAGTTATGTTTTACATCCCATGATATCGCAGTGTGTATGACAGAAATATATGCAAATAGTCTTCGCCTAACAAACACAATTGGAATTGGCAGCACTGTCACTAAGCCATCAAGCGAGATATCACCAGACTGTGATTTGTGATTTCACTGCTGGTTTTTCCATTGACTCTGCTTGCGGGAAGCTGGCTGTGAAGTGTGCAAATGGCAATCAGTGACCGCAGGATGTTGCAACTATTGTAAATGTGGGCTGGTTGCAAAGCATCTAAATCTCGATCACATGACCACAGGGATATTGTGACGGTCCAAGTGCAAGTATCAGTCAGAAATTTACTTTTTCATTCCATCATAGCTTTGAAAGGTTGTTAAACAGAGCAGTCATTAAGCAAGGATGACTTGTATACACATACACAGACACCCCTAATCTGTAAATCTTAAATGCCTCTCCTCACAGTTAACAGCTATCAAAGAATTTTCAAAATAGTGTAATTATATAAAAATAATAATAGATTATTTATGAATTTATGAACTAAATTAAAAATGCTTCCCATCTGATATTTTTCAGGCAGGATAATGTTCAGAGAACAAGAATCACAACCCAGCACCTGCAATCCAGAGAAAGCTCCTCCTACAGCAGCATTTATGCCTTCCTTACATGTCATTCAGATGTCCTGGACCTGGAACATTAATATTCCCCATCCTGAGACAACACAGGCATTATTGGGACTAGATTGTTTACAAATTTGTCTTCTATCTGTCCTGAATTTCTTATTGGTGTTAAGGTGGCATAAAACCACTTTCCTTTTGTACTTTGATTGCAGGTGAGTTCTGGGAATGACAACTAGAATATGCCAGTTTGAGGTGTGTATGGGGGGGGAGGTACTTCTAATTGTTAAAAGGGAGATAATTTAAGCAAGGAGAAAATTGGATATGTTGCTTTCTCCCTGTTCTCTGTTTAGAAAGCCACCTTATTTGTCTGTTTAGAAAATCATCTTATTTCTCAATCTTAGTTAAAAGCTACTCCCATCTACACACACACACTCACACTCACACACACAAAGGCCCTACCTAATGGAATAAAGTCGTTTGAAAAAGTTGAACAATACTGTAATGCTGCTTACAAATGTTCACATAAGTTCCTGTGCACCCTTCTAGTCCAGCAAACTAGTTTTCAATGATGGTTAGCGCTTTACAGCAGCAGTCAGTCGGCAATCAGCATATAGGATGTTGCCTTCCTTTGTTGTTTTTCTCATGTAAAAAAGATACTCTAAAATGCAAGCGCAAAGTTCTCGCGGCTGACAACCAGTCCCATCTGCAGTTAATCTGACAACGAAGTTTCTCTTAAAGCTCCTAATTACTCCTAGCGTTCTCTAAGGGAGCGTTCTCTCTTTAATCAAAGTGGGAAACTAGAAAGCCGCAACTTTACTTAAAATTAAACCGCGCGCGTTTAAGAGACCGCGCCTCTTTTTTTCTTCTTAAAGTGAGTGCGGCCAATCACCCGCTTACGCAGGACCAGATTCGGCCAATCAGCGACTACGTCGTCGCTCCGAGAAAGATGGCGACGTTGCGAACGGCTTAGAGGGGTATGGAGGCAGCGGGTGGATTCTTCCATGGCAAACAGACGGCGGCAAGCGGCGTCGGTAACGGGAACTGAAAAGCCGATCATAACGAGCCCGGCGAGGCGGAGCAATAGACGAAGAGCTGCTGTTGAGAGTGCCCAATGTGGCGAGAGTCCCTGTAGCGAAAACAGAGCAGAGGGTGAGAAGCCTGCGGAGCCGTTTGTCCTTGGTATTTGCACCTTTCAGCCCAGCTTTGGGCAATGTGGCTCTTCTGCCTGCGCATCACGTTAGCTTCATCCTGAGCAAAAGCACTGGATTCCATGGTTTATTCCCAAGGAATGGTAGCGAGTTTGGAACGCAGCTCTCGCTATCCTATGCCAGCTGGGACTGATGGGAGATGTAATCGGAAGCATCTGGACTTAACCGGAAGCGTGGCGGATCGGGTACCATATTAAAATCCAAAGTCCCTCTCTGTTAACGATCCTTTCCTAATTTATCATACTTGTTTCCCATTATTTCTAGGATCTTTATGCTTTTTCCTACTGGATCTGCAAGTAGGACTTTTAAATAGGGAGTTAAATGCATTGCACTTAAACATTTATGCATTTATTATAGCTTCAGAAAAAATAAAGTTCTTATCGTGTGGGTTTGCAAGATCTCCAAGAATATTATATCTTTGTATGAACTACAAAGTGAAGTTTTTTTTTCTTCAGTTTCTTCTTCAGGAACATTTAAGTTTTGTAGTATTATACAGCTCTTCCACTGTAAGGAGGAAAAACACTATAACAAAACAGTGCTCTCTGTTTCCAACCCTGAAAGGATAGCGTGATAAATGGTATCAAAGACCTCTGAGAAATCAAGCAACTCCAGGAGAATTGCAGTATCCTTGGTTTTGCCAGAAGTTATCCATAAGTAAGATTAATATTTCAGGGCCATGCCCAAGCCTGAAATGTGAATGAAATGGGTTTAGATAATCCATTTCCTCTAGGATTATCTGCAATTGCAGCTCCACCACCTGTTTAACACTTTCCCAAGAAAGGAATGTTTGAAACAGGTTAATCCAGAATTGCTGGATTAAACAAATTAGGATGCATAATCTGGTCTCCCGGGGATAGTAATAGAAGCTTTCACTAATCAGGAGGGATAGGGATCCAGATTGCAGGTGAGGGAGCTGATGTCACACAAAATCCTGTCCCCTTTAACTCAATGTAGGTAGCTGGACAAGCCTTTCTCATTAGGACTTGCTTAGCTGGCATGGAACTCCAAACACTTGGGAACAATTTTGGCCACCAGTTGCCTAGATAATTTCTCATAACTTCCATAGTTTCATTTTACCAAAGCTTATATATACATGTCCATTTTGAATAGGTGTTTTGCTTGTTTTATATTTTTCCATAGAAAGATCTTTGTATAAAACGCCAAAGAGAACTCAGGTGAGCAGATCACGGTTGCCTACTTTCAATTCTCCTACAAATGAAATTGACATGCAACAAGAGATCTTTTGGGATCCTCAGTCACCTACAACATATAAACTAGGTAATTATTGTTATATTTAAAATTTTTCTAAGTAATTTATCTTTCAAAATATGTGTTTACAAACCCTAGAACATCCTAACCATATACAATGCTGAGCTATAGTAACTTATATCTATTAAAAATAACTGTGCAGGTAGTTTATTTATTTATTATTTTCCATTAAAGCATTTTCAAAACAAGGTATATACTTTAATAATGCCATGCTATTGTCTAGGTCTAGGACCAGGCTATCCAAAAGGAAATCTGAGGTTAAATATGCTTGTGTAGCCTTTTAAAGACTTCATTGCTTTACTCTTGGGCTCCCTTCTTCCAGTGTGAAGTGGGTCAACTTTGTGGTGGAACCTCGTTACAAAGCATTCTCCCCAGCTTGTCCTGCCAAGAACTGAGCTTGTTAATTTGCCAAATAGAAATAGGCCTTGCTTTTTTGTTGGATTTTTACTGTCCTTTTTGCTATTTCATGTTTGTCCTTTCTCTAATGGGCTTGTAATGGTAAATGGTATGTTGTATTTGTTTAAGTTTTATAGTTGCCCACTTGACATTGGTGACTGGGTAGCACACACAATTAAAATGCAAACCCCAAAAATTCTCTGGGTTGATTTGTTCAATGATCTATCATTTTGTTTCCTTGGCCCCTCATGTTTTATCAAAAGTCCTCTTCAACACCAAAGTCCAAAGACATCAATATTCTTTCTATTCTACTTCTTCAAACTTTCATTCTATAGAGTTTCACAGGGAATACCATTACTTGCACTATTTTGATCTTTATAGGCATAAGCACATCATGGCATTAGATATCTTTTCCAAGGCTTTCGTGACTATTCTACCTTTTGCTTGGTCCTTTATTGTTCTCTGTTGAACCTAAAAGACAGAAAGTGTTATTGTGATGTCTTCATTATAGGTTCTGGTTGTTAATATTTGTTATCCTTAATGTGGTTGTTTTTAATATTTAATTTTTGTCTTATTTTTGTCATTCTCCTTGAGTTTAATGTATTTCTTCAGTGGGAAACAGCATGCTCACACATTAGCCAATCTTGGCCTGTTTTTAAGGTAGAGGGGCTCTCTTTCTTATTCCAATTCAGCAATGTCTTCTTTTTTTAGGCAACAGTCAAAAGAAACTGACAGTTGGTGGACATACAGTTGAGATATCAGAAATTGTTAATCGAATTGCTCCTCAGGTAATGATTTTCCTAAGATGCAACTCTATAAATTTGGCATTTTGTACTTTCTTTTATGTGAATTTGCTTTTGATTAGAGCAGCCTGTATGTCCAGTAAAAAATAAACAACCTATTTTGAGAAGAAAAAAAAAGATCCATCCCAAAGGTATTTTTTCAAAACTTTTTCAAGTGCAGATGGATTGCTGAATCTTATCCTGATTGGTTTGTTCTCCTATGTTGTGCCATGCTTTCTTTCAATCCATCTTTCAGTCCATATGCATTTGAAAGAGAAAGGTCACTCTTGAAAACAGCAAAGTCCACATTCTGGACAGAGAGGATTGCTGGTGGGAAAGAGGGGTGAAAGAGGCCATCTATGTTAAAATTGGACAGCCCTTTCTCAAGAGGTGGAGGGATATGATACCACCTAGCTCCTGTCTATAATACAATCCTTTCAGCAGTTCCAAGAAGGTTCCACACCCATTTGCATTCTGATTCAGGTCACCCTGAGGGCACAAATAAACCTCCAAGTGGCTTAGCTACTCTCAGAGAACTAATGACTGATCTTCAAAGTGCTAATAACTAGATGACTGCAAGTAATATAAATCCATTCCTCACGATTCAGTCAAAACTGAAGAAGCTTCTTGGATGAGAAGCGAAACATCTTGAAGAAAAAATAAAGTCCAGTTGCCTTTTTAAAAAGCACCTTTGGGAAAATCAAGACCTGGATGACTGAAGAATCTCCATAGATATTTAGACCAGTGTTTGTTAAATTGTTCTGATACTTTTACAGACTCAGTGTCATTCAAGCAAACTTTATTGTTCCACACAAGCTTCTCAGCAGCGGAAGCCCCAAATTGATTCTTGACTGGCAAACAAGCAATTATAAATTGCTTCATTTACCCAAGGATATGCTTAAACTACTAATTTAGATTATCAGATAACGTTCACATCTTGATCCTCCTGAATGTGAGGCATTTGGCTTTACCTTAAGATGATAATCCTTAGAAAAAACATTTGAACAAATTGGAACTAATTTTCATTATATGACTACGGAAAATAAGCCATAGTGGTACAAATGTGCTTGCCATGTTCCTCTTCCAGTTTGTGCTAACATTAAAAAATGGAATGCTGGTTTGCTGATGCTGTTCTAGCGTGGCAGTGGACTTTCCATGCTGCTATAGACCTTAGCAGTGTCCCTGTCCTGCCTGTTTTGACATTCCACATTCAGCAACCACTGAATTATGGGATGTGGAAATGTAAAGGGGCTTTTTGAAATTGTGCTTGGAGGACTGATTCTGCCATAGGACTGGATAACTATGATAGATAGAACCACTTTTTATTTTTTTATGTTCCCCAAAGAGAGTATAGGCCAGGACCCCAGTTTATACTTCCTTTTACCTAACCATCCATCATTGTGGGAAACACTGGTCTCTGAAGGCTCAAGAAGTTGTTTTTTGTACTGGACACATTAGGAGATTTTTTGGCTGCCTGTGTCTGCCATTTTATGGCTGCCCATTGAGTGTGGGCACCAGGAAATACAATTGGGGAGCTCTGTTCCTTGTTGATCTCAGGGAAGAGAAACAGACTGTGCCCCTTCTGCAAAGGTAGTGAAGTCATTCCCCACTGCCTTTGGGACCAAGGATGGCTGGCTTGGAGGAGATGAAGCAGGATGGACGATTTCTTTTCCCAATGACTCATGGGTCATTTTCTGTGTGATGGATAAAGGAAATGCTCTTGCTAAGTTCTTCCCCTCATATCCAATTACTTTAATCACCTGGGACTCCAAAAGGTGACTCTGTACCCAAGGAAAGCTAGCCAGCTGGAAAGAACACATTGGCTTCTATCATGGAGAGATTCAAGAGATGAAAATATGTTCAGTCTGTATGAGAGTCTTTGAGAAGATGGATCTTCATTTTTATAGCCTTGGATCTTCATTTTTATAGCCAGAGAGGATTGCTCATTCAGTTGGTTAGGTGCAACGGGAAAAGGTATCTCCTTGGACACAAAGCACAAGTTTCCTGGGCACTGGGTTATCCCATGGCTCTCTTTTCTCCAGGCCTTTAAATAGATTGAAGGGCGAGGAAGAAGATCATGAAGTGACCCTTCAAAATGATTCCTCTTTCCAAGTCAAAAAGGTCTATAAGACCCTTGTCCAGGGCAACCAGGGTAACCCACAAATTTCCAGGAATGTCAGGCTTGTGGCAAGTATTTCTATTCCAAATGGAATAAGATTATCCAAAAAAGTAGCTAAACTTCTGTTCTCTTATAGAAATCTCCCTCTATTTGGCTATCCTCCATTTTTTTTACATTGTCCAACCTGTAGCATTTGAATAATAAAACAGCTAATTTCATGTAATTGTATTAAAACTAATCACTCAGATACTCTGAGATTAGGTTTGATAGAAGATCAGGATATAAATGTTTGAAAATAGTAGTGTCCACAAGAGAACACGATGATGCCACAATCATCATACATGTGCAATGATATATTTGCAAAAATGCCATGATTATGTTTCCTAATACCTGATAATATGTAAAATGCAGCATATATGTTATAATGTCATCATACATATTTGTCATTTGCCCTCCTGAGGACACTCACTATTGGAAAATTCAGAAATACGTTTAGAATTCATAACACCAAGGTAAATTAGAGAGGTACTATATGTCCATTTAATCAAATTGATAGTGTTTATTCTTACTATTTAGGATGAAAAACCTGCCTGTTATGAAGGATCTCTTCTTGGGCTATGGATTGGTGAAGACGCAATTCCTTGTACTCCTGGAATAACAAAAGTACGATCTAGAACAAAAATAAATATGGCAAGGTATGTTGCAAAACTTGCTATTTAGTTTTTGGAATCATCACAAAACTTCTATGTAGGAAAACCAGAGAACAGTTCAACATAGTGGTAAAGATGCTGAGCTAGAAAGGTGGAGACTATGAGCTCTTCCATTAGGCATGAAAGCCAACTGGGTGACCTTGGGCCAGTCACCCTCTCTCAACTCACAGGGTAGTTTGGGAATGAAAATAGGATGCAGGAGCATCAAATATGTTGTTTTGAGCTGAACAAAGTAAAGGTGGGATAAAAATCAAAATATAACCTGTGTATTCAACCAGCTTCTGATACAAACTTAAATGCTTGTTGCAGTTATAAATGCTGAATTGTAATGATATCAACACATTGCAAACTGCAGACTTTCTGCTTAAATACAAAATCTTACTTTTCAGATAGTCCAGAGAGCAAAACACCAGTTCCAGATGCAGAATTTTTCTGAGTTATCCTGAACATCTAAAGCAACATCAAGAGAGGGGTGAAGAGGGGGTTGAGTGGAACACTAACACTTAAGCCAGGGGTGTCAAACTGTCGGCCTGCAGGCCGGGCGCGTCATCCGGAAGCCACGGCAACCCCATTGCCGGCAATGGCAAAATCGGCCCGATACGTTGCACAACGTCATGTGACGTCGCGAGTTTGACACCCCTGACTTAAGCCATAGTTTCCTTTATACGGCCCTTGTTATCAGTTTAATTATCTTCTGAGTCTCGATTCTTACTTTTAAATAAACTTGTTTTCTTTTAATTTGGGACTCTTTTTTTGCTGGCCTTGGAATTTTGCCAAATTCAAGCTCTGGATCAGCTGGGTTAGTCTGCTCTGTGTTCCCTCAGAGGTGCTCTCTTCTGCTAGTTTCTTGGTTGCAGGCTGGTCATCTTCAGCTTTTGAATCTGAAGCCTCAAACTAATCCTGTTCTGGGCAATGCTAAAATTCATAATTTAGAAAAGCATTAAAATCTTTCAGACAGCTTTTTAGAATATGTTGTATTGTTAGCATTTACTTCCTTTTAAAAATGCTTCAATTTATGTTAAATACTTTGTATTTAAGCATACATTTTGTTCTTTACTGATATTTATGTATAAAATGCTTTGCATGCTCTTTGTTGAAAAATGAAGAACAATTTTTAAAAATTTATTTTTTTGTAGGAGTTGAATCTTATTGTGAAACAATTGATATCTTCCAATGATTATAAAATAGATAAGCCATCTCCAAATATTTTATGTTGGTAATATTTTTTCCGTTGCTTGTTCATGTAGAGTTCATCAATTAAAACACGGAGAAGAGGAACTTATGAAGTTAGCAAAGCAGTTTGATAAAAATCTGATTGATGCAGTCCAAGAACAAAACTTTTTGCAGCCAAATTCTATTCATGTTTCGTCAGCAGCAAAACTATCAACTGAGCATCATATCAAGGTCCAGAGAGAAGATCAGTGGCAATTGATGAATGAACATCCTACAATTAATTCTACTTTGTCCCATGGAATACTTAAGGAGAATGCTGAGATAGTTAAGAGTCCTAAGAGCAGTAGTCAGAAATCCATAGATCTAGATGCTGAAGGGGCACTAAATGACCTTTTTGATTGTTCTACCCAAAAGTGTAGTGGCCAGTTGAGCCAAGGTGTGTTAAACTGTTCCTTGAACACTGTTGTGCAGGATAAGGGTACTATGATGGAGGCAGAGCAGCCTTTGGTTAGTGATAAACCTCAAGGGCAAAGTGCCATGCATCTTAAACAGTATTCAGAATTCCTTCTAACTGAGAAATCTAAAACAACCTCTGTACAAACATTTTCAAGTGTAGAGCTTTCTAATAATAATCCTGACAATACTTTCAGTGATGACAGCTATGACTGGGATGCTGATTTGCTACCTGATGATTCACTTCTCATGCAAATTACTCAGGAGCCTGAATTGATGAAGAGCGCAGAAGATGCTTGTATTTCTGAGGAAAAGGGAGAATCAAAAAAATGGACTGTAAATTCCAAGAAGCCATCTATCGCCCAGGCTGGAGTTTTTCATTCTTCCAGTACCGTACCAGTGTCGTGTGTTTCCATGTCAAACCAAATCATTCAGTCAGAAAAAGCCAAAATTATTCCTTTTCACGAAGATTGTTCACTAAAAACCAACAAGGTGGATTCGTTTTCTAAAACTAGGCAAAACAACACTCTGGACTATAATTTTACTTCAGTGAAATCTGAAAATAGGAATGTCCCTCATGGCCCTTCCCACCTGAAAAATGCTACAAATACCAGTTCTGAAAAAAGAACTTCTGTTTCATATTCTGAACTTGCTAAACTATCAACTGGGAAATTCAAAAACCATGTGCATGGCACAAGCTACAAGGCCTCAGTTGTTTCNAAGCAATGTCGACTGGCGACCCCCAGGGGGAGGGCCTTCTCTGTGGGTGCCCCTGCCCTCTGGAATGAACTACCCCCCGAGATCCGGATGATTCCGGATCTCCTTACTTTCCGCCGCGCCCTCAAGACATGGCTTTTCCAACAAGCGGGCCTGGCCTAGGGAGGATTTTTAAATTGGGTTTCTTAGAAATTTTAATTACAACACTAAAATATTGGTTTTAATTTGGTTTTATTCGGTGGGGTGTGTGGGTTTGTCTTTGTTTTTTAAAAAATGTTGTGAGCCGCCCTGAGTCCTTCGGGAGAAGGGCGGGATACAAATTGAATAAATAATAATAATAATAATAATAATAATAATAATAATAATAATAATAATAATAATAATAATAATAATAATAATAATAATAATGACTGACCTTCAAAGTGCTAATAACTAGATGACTGCAAGTAATATAAATCCATTCCTCACGATTCAGTCAAAACTGAAGAAGCTTCTTGGATGAGAAGCGAAACATCTTGAAGAAAAAATAAAGTCCAGTTGCCTTTTTAAAAAGCACCTTTGGGAAAATCAAGACCTGGATGACTGAAGAATCTCCATAGATATTTAGACCAGTGTTTGTTAAATTGTTCTGATACTTTTACAGACTCAGTGTCATTCAAGCAAACTTTATTGTTCCACACAAGCTTCTCAGCAGCGGAAGCCCCAAATTGATTCTTGACTGGCAAACAAGCAATTATAAATTGCTTCATTTACCCAAGGATATGCTTAAACAACTAATTTAGATTATCAGATAACGTTCACATCTTGATCCTCCTGAATGTGAGGCATTTGGCTTTATCTTAAGATGATAATCCTTAGAAAAAACATTTGAACAAATTGGAACTAATTTTCATTATATGACTACGGAAAATAAGCCATAGTGGTACAAATGTGCTTGCCATGTTCCTCTTCCAGTTTGTGCTAACATTAAAAAATGGAATGCTGTTTTGCTGATGCTGTTCTAGCGTGGCAGTGGACTTTCCATGCTGCTATAGACCTTAGCAGTGTCCCTGTCCTGCCTGTTTTGACATTCCACATTCAGCAACCACTGAATTATGGGATGTGGAAATGTAAAGGGGCTTTTTGAAATTGTGCTTGGAGGACTGATTCTGCCATAGGACTGGATAACTATGATAGATAGAACCACTTTTTATTTTTTTATGTTCCCCAAAGAGAGTATAGGCCAGCACCTCAGTTTATACTTCCTTTTACCTAACCATCCATCATTGTGGGAAACACTGGTCTCTGAAGGCTCAAGAAGTTGTTTTTTGTACTGGACACATTAGGAGATTTTTTGGCTGCCTGTGTCTGCCATTTTATGGCTGCCCATTGAGTGTGGGCACCAGGAAATACAATTGGGGAGCTCTGTTCCTTGTTGACCTCAGGGAAGAGAAACAGACTGTGCCCCTTCTGCAAAGTTAGTGAAGTCATTCCCCACTGCCTTTGGGACCAAGGATGGCTGGCTTGGAGGAGATGAAGCAGGATGGAAGATTTCTTTTCCCAATGACTCATGGGTCATTTTCTGTGTGATGGATAAAGGAAATGCTCTTGCTAAGTTCTTCCCCTCATATCCAATTACTTTAATCACCGGGGACTCCAAAAGGTGACTCTGTACCCAAGGAAAGCTAGCCAGCTGGAAAGAACACATTGGCTTCTATCATGGAGAGATTCAAGAGATGAAAATATGTTCAGTCTGTATGAGAGTCTTTGAGAAGATGGATCTTCATTTTTATAGCCTTGGATCTTCATTTTTATAGCCAGAGAGGATTGCTCATTCAGTTGGTTAGGTGCAACGGGAAAAGGTATCTCCTTGGACACAAAGCACAAATTTCCTGGGCACTGGGTTATCCCATGGCTCTCTTTTCTCCAGGCCTTTAAATAGATTGAAGGGCGAGGAAGAAGATCATGAAGTGACCCTTCAAAATGATTCCTCTTTCCAAGTCAAAAAGGTCTATAAGACCCTTGTCCAGGGCAACCAGGGTAACCCACGAATTTCCAGGAATGTCAGGCTTGTGGCAAGTATTTCTATTCCAAATGGAATAAGATTATCCAAAAAAGTAGCTAAACTTCTGTTCTTATAGAAATCTCCCTCTATTTGGCTATCCTCCATTTTTTTTACATTGTCCAACCTGTAGCATTTGAATAATAAAACAGCTAATTTCATGTAATTGTATTAAAACTAATCACTCAGATACTCTGAGATTAGGTTTGATAGAAGATCAGGATATAAATGTTTGAAAATAGCAGTGTCCACAAGAGAACACGATGATGCCACAATCATCATACATGTGCAATGATATATTTGCAAAAATGCCATGATTATGTATCCTAATACCTGATAATATGTAAAATGCAGCATATATGTTATAATGTCATCATACATATTTGTCATTTGCCCTCCTGAGGACACTCACTATTGGAAAATTCAGAAATACGTTTAGAATTCATAACACCAAGGTAAATTAGAGAGGTACTATATGTCCATTTAATCAAATTGATAGTGTTTATTCTTACTATTTAGGATGAAAAACCTGCCTGTTATGAAGGATCTCTTCTTGGGCTATGGATTGGTGAAGACGCAATTCCTTGTACTCCTGGAATAACAAAAGTACGATCTAGAACAAAAATAAATATGGCAAGGTATGTTGCAAAACTTGCTATTTAGTTTTTGGAATCATCACAAAACTTCTATGTAGGAAAACCAGAGAACAGTTCAACATAGTGGTAAAGGTGCTGAGCTAGAAAGCTGGAGACTATGAGCTCTTCCATTAGGCATGAAAGCCAACTGGGTGACCTTGGGCCAGTCACCCTCTCTCAACTCACAGGGTAGTTTGGGAATGAAAATAGGATGCAGGAGCATCAAATATGTTGTCTTGAGCTGAACAAAGTAAAGGTGGGATAAAAATCAAAATATAACCTGTGTATCCAACCAGCTTCTGATACAAACTTAAATGCTTGTTGCAGTTATAAATGCTGAATTGTAATGATATCAACACATTGCAAACTGCAGACTTTCTGCTTAAATACAAAAGCTTACTTTTCAGATAGTCCAGAGAGCAAAACACCAGTTCCAGATGCAGAATTTTTCTGAGTTATCCTGAACATCTAAAGCAACATCAAGAGAGGGGTGAAGAGGGGGTTGAATGGAACACTAACACTTAAGCCAGGGGTGTCAAACTGTCGGCCTGCAGGCCGGGCGCGTCATCCGGAAGCCACGCCCACCCCATTGCCGGCAATGGCAAAATCGGCCCGATACGTTGCACAACGTCATGTGACGTCGCGAGTTTGACACCCCTGACTTAAGCCATAGTTTCCTTTATACGGCCCTTGTTATCAGTTTAATTATCTTCTGAGTCTCGATTCTTACTTTTAAATAAACAACTTGTTTTCTTTTAATTTGGGACTCTTTTTTTGCTGGCCTTGGAATTTTGCCAAATTCAAGCTCTGGATCAGCTGGGTTAGTCTGCTCTGTGTTCCCTCAGAGGTGCTCTCTTCTGCTAGTTTCTTGGTTGCAGGCTGGTCATCTTCAGCTTTTGAATCTGAAGCCTCAAACTAATCCTGTTCTGGGCAATGCTAAAATTCATAATTTAGAAAAGCATTAAAATCTTTCAGACAGCTTTTTAGAATATGTTGTATTGTTAGCATTTACTTCCTTTTAAAAATGCTTCAATTTATGTTAAATACTTTGTATTTAAGCATACATTTTGTTCTTTACTGATATTTATGTATAAAATGCTTTGCATGCTCTTTGTTGAAAAATGAAGAACAATTTTTAAAAATTTTTATTTTTTTGTAGGAGTTGAATCTTATTGTGAAACAATTGATATCTTCCAATGATTATAAAATAGATAAGCCATCTCCAAATATTTTATGTTGGTAATATTTTTTCCATTGCTTGTTCATGTAGAGTTCATCAATTAAAACACGGAGAAGAGGAACTTATGAAGTTAGCAAAGCAGTTTGATAAAAATCTGATTGATGCAGTCCAAGAACAAAACTTTTTGCAGCCAAATTCTATTCATGTTTCGTCAGCAGCAAAGCTATCAACTGAGCATCATATCAAGGTCCAGAGAGAAGATCAGTGGCAATTGATGAATGAACATCCTGCAATTAATTCTACTTTGTCCCATGGAATACTTAAGGAGAATGCTGAGATAGTTAAGAGTCCTAAGAGCAGTAGTCAGAAATCCATAGATCTAGATGCTGAAGGGGCACTAAATGACCTTTTTGATTGTTCTACCCAAAAGTGTAGTGGCCAGTTGAGCCAAGGTGTGTTAAACTGTTCCTTGAACACTGTTGTGCAGGATAAGGGTGCTATGATGGAGGCAGAGCAGCCTTTGGTTAGTGATAAACCTCAAGGGCAAAGTGCCATGCATCTTAAACAGTATTCAGAATTCCTTCTAACTGAGAAATCTAAAACAACCTCTGTACAAACATTTTCAAGTGTAGAGCTTTCTAATAATAATCCTGACAATACTTTCAGCGATGACAGCTATGACTGGGATGCTGATTTGTTACCTGATGATTCACTTCTCATGCAAATTACTCAGGAGCCTGAATTGATGAAGAGCGCAGAAGATGCTTGTATTTCTGAGGAAAAGGGAGAATCAAAAAAATGGACTGTAAATTCCAAGAAGCCATCTATCGCCCAGGCTGGAGTTTTTCATTCTTCCAGTACCGTACCAGTGTCGTGTGTTTCCATGTCAAACCAAATCATTCAGTCAAAAAAAGCCAAAATTATTCCTTTTCACGAAGATAGTTCACTAAAAACCAACAAGGTGGATTCGTTTTCCAAAACTAGGCAACACAACACTCTGGACTATAATTTTACTTCAGTGAAATCTGAAAATAGGAATGTCCCTCATGGCCCTTCCCACCTGAAAAATGCTACAAATACCAGTTCTGAAAAAAGAACTTCTGTTTCATATTCTGAACTTGCTAAACTATCAACTGGGAAATTCAAAAACCATGTGCATGGCACAAGCTACAAGGCCTCAGTTGTTTCTACCAATAAAAACCGTCATGATCTAAAGACAGCAATTAACCAGGGAAGCTCTGATTGTCCACAACAGACATCCGTGGCAAAGAAAGGCATGTTTTCATTTGATGATTGGAGCGAGCCCAAATTTTCAGATGAAGTTCTAGAATTATTTTGTGAATCGAATACCTCTTGGGGCACCCACTGTAACGATGATGATGACTTGCTTTATCAGGTTTGTGATGATGTAGAAAGGAAAACACAGAGCCAAATGGATACGAAGGAAACTGGAAAAGCTAAATCAATGGCAAAGAGTACTTCCAATTTGGAGCAGAGTCTTTGTCAATCAGGGCCAAGTCAAGGGCTTTCCATTTGCCTGCAGACTGAGAAGAATTCAGGCAGGAAGACTTTTTCGTTGAATCTACCCATCGCAACAAGGAAGAATGAAAATTCTACAAATATGTCTACAGTGTATCAAGGCAGCTTTGCATCTGGAACTGGCCAAGCTACTATGTCCAGTGTGAAGATAAATAATAATAGGCAATGGCAGAACGGCCATGATGTGAGCAAAATAAAAACTAACTGCAATCAGTTATCTTCTGAAAAATCCAAATATATATTCAAAAAGGCCAGTAGTTCCCAAGCTCTTGTTTTGGACCATAAAAATGTGAATGTAGGCAGTCTTTCTGGAACTAACAAGGGGTTGTGGGAAAGCAAAAATGCACCAAACATTCCATTTCAGAAAGTCATGAATGGCAAGCCAGTTGTTAAGAGCACTGATTTTGCACCATCTGAGAAAGGTAGGTGTTGCTGGATTCTTCTCAAAGTAACACAGTTCTTATAAATAAGCCATCTTCACTCATGGAATCCTCTGGGAATCCCTGGATCTTTATAGAATGTACACTGGAACTGCAGCATTAGTTAAACCTGAAGTTTGTTCTGTTCTAGATAGGGTACGATATCTGAATAAAGGCATGTTAGATGAGATTAAGGATGTTTTTTATCCATAATGAATTTCTGTTCCTCTATTGATCAGTTAGACTCCCTGGCGCACCCACTACTGGGGCATGAATATAGTGATTTCTTATAAGGGAAGGGCACTTTGGTATCGTTTGGGCTTTATATTGTAAAAAAAACCTTTGACAAAATGCAGAAATCTTGTAGTAATGTGGGTTCAAGTTTATTTGTGCTATATAACCTAGTTCCCCCCTGTAGCCCCTTTGTTTTTTTTCCATGGTGTATTTTAGTTTTATGGTTTATCTGCCTGACATTAATGTTATCTGTTCTGATCTTTGGATCTAATTTCATTCTGTCTTTTTTTAATCATTCGCAGTATGGTAACAATTATTTAACAAGGTTGCCCAAATCCATGTTTAGAAATGAGACAGTGCAAGTTATACTTACAATTAATAGTGGAAATTTTAATAATTGTTCTTCCTACTCTATAAGTTGGTTCTTGAAGAGGGCAAGATTTTAAAAGTGCCCTCGATACAAGTGACTCCCTCCCATTTTACTTGGTGGATGTTTTTGCAAGAATTAGAGGGCAAGAATTATTCTAACGTATTATTAATAAAGTTCCTCTTACTCCTGATCAGTAGAACATTAGGTACTGTGTAAATGTGGCCACATCAGACTGTTTGCCTTCTCTTTGCAGAATATAAAAGTAGGAGGTGTTCTCAAGAAGAAATTGCACGGAAAAAGCAAGAAGCTCTTGAGCGAAGAAAGTGTAAAATGGAAGCATTGTGCAAAAATGCTGCACCTACCTGAGTACTTTTCAATACAGAAGAATTAATGGCAGGTGGGCAGTGGAGTCATTGTCACTAAAATATATGTCTATATTGAAAACTATTGCCAATTCCTTCACCTACCACTGTCTTTATCCTTCTACAGAATGGCAGTATTAATTGCTTTTGAATTCCCTTCCTTCCCTCCTTTTTGGAAACTTGGTTACAACTGTTTATTTCCCATGAAACATAATGTGTCAATTCTTACTTTGGAATGTTTGAGAAGACCAATATCCCAATTTAATTATATACTGGTCACTTAGCCCGTTTCACACACAACAGTATACTTTAAATTTTGTAACAAACATTTTGTTTATTCTGAGGTCATAAATGACAACATTCCAAGCTTTAAAGTGTGTACCAATAATGTAAACATTTAATAGTGAGCCTTGAATGTAACTCACAGCTTGGATCCATTTTAATTTTGTTTTATCACTACATTACAAAGGAGCTTGGATCCATTTTAATTTTGTTTTATCACTACGTTACAAAGGACTGCTTCTGTAGTAAAGCATGTGGAAGTTTTCTATCATTTATTTATCATTGTAAATTATATACATGCTGTAAATTGTGATTAAACTGATAGCAATTTCTCTGATTATACTCTTCTCTAATATGTCATTAGAACCTAACCAACGTAGTATTCTTACCTCTTCACAGAAGTGAAAGTGATCTGCTCTCTGTTGGAAGTATGCATCAGTGTGTTGGTGACTTCCTAGGCTGTTCTATGCAGATTCCATTCTGTAGCTCGATCTAATACATAGTGGTCAGGGAGATGATAACTGGTCCCTAGTACTTCTGTTATGGGGTCTAGTCATCTTCCGTAAGAAAAAAAATGTCTTCTTTCTGCATCATAAGACACACAGTTGAGGATTGAGTTTCACACACTATTGACTTAAAAGCAATGCACGTCTTCTGATTTACAAAAGTTTCTCACACTTTAGGATGTTTATTGTGAGGAAATGTTATAAGGAAACTATTTCTTCTAGATTCTTATGTGATTACAGCAAGTACTATATCTTATACACAACACCAGCCCCAGGGACATTCTCCTATAAAAACATGCCTCTAAAAAAGCTTCATACATGGCTAAAATATGGTTAGATCTGGAATGTTCAGCAAAAGGGACAAATTTAATTTTCTTCTAGAATATTACATCAGGTGTATTCCAATTCAATATTCATATTGCAGCTTCAGTTTGGGAGGATTTGTATGCAAATCTATTAAACCTAACCAGGGCCTCCCATTGTAAGCAAATTACTGATATTCTCTGTCCTTCAATGTTAGTATCAGAAATCAAATTCATTATCTGAAATCTAATAAGGCATCTGGAGAAGATTTTTCAAGACATATATTGATTGGTGGGCACCATTGTTAGCAGGGCTGTTCTCCCATATATAAGTAAAAGGTTTTATCCCAGTCATACATTGCCATAATAGTCCCTATATATAAAAAGGGAGATGAGGGTGACCCAAAAAATTAATAGATTAATAAGCCTTATTGGAATTGTGGCTAAATATATATGCAAAACATCTTTTTGACAAAATAGAAGACTGGAAATAGATCTCTTAATGGAGGAATAAGCTGAATTTACATGAAAGTGCTCCATAATAGACAATTGTTTTATTTTACATCATCTCATAACAAAACAACTAATGACAAGAAACCTTTATAGATCTCAGTGCAGCTTTTGATTCTATAAACCAGACATGTCAAACACAAGGCCCGGGGGCCAGATGCGGCCCGCAAAGTGGTTTCATGTGGCCCGGCGAAACCATCCTGGAAACAGTGAGGGAACGGCCCCCACTGCCTTGGCCCTGGTCCAGGCCGTCCGGGAGCCAATGTACAATTTTGTGGTGGCCATCTATGCTGAAACACATTCAGTCTTAGCTCCACAAGGCCATCTAGAAACAGTGAGGAACCAGCCCCTGCCTTGTTGGCCCCGCCCCCTGGGTGCATGCTGGGGAGGTGTCACCCTTTGTGAGGAATGAAGAAATGGACCATGCCTTGGCGCTTGCCCCGGTCCCACTCCCTTCTGCCAGAGACCCTCAGATCTGTTCCACTCCTGCCCAGGCCCCCACAGGCACCCTTGACACGAAAGATTTAGAGCTGGCCATGCTGACCCAGTAGGTCACACCCACTCCATCCAGGCCCACCCAGTAGGCTGCACCCACCCTGGCCACACACCCCTGCCCCCCCCGAGGGCAACCGCAACGCTGATGCAGCCCTCAATGAAATTGAGTTTGACACCCCTGGTATAAACAGAAATATTTTGTGGAAGAAATTGGCTAACTTAAATATGGAACTCAGACATTTACTCTTGGTTAAGGCCCTGTACTTGAACACCCGTTTGAAAGTCCATACCGGTGTAAATGGTTCTGTAACTGAAAGTATACCTACCCATAATCCTGTTAGTTAGGGTTATATTCTAGCCCTGATTCTTTTTAACCTATATGTCAATGTTATTCCAATATTCCTTTATGCTTCAGATATTCATATGCCAAAAATCCATAATAAATTTAATAATATCATTTTATATGCTGATGATATGGTTTTATTGTCACACTCAAATAAGTCTGAAAAATCTATTGGGAAAAATAACAAAATGACTGTGTTCTTAATTTTTTTAAACATCAATAAAACTAAATAAAAAGTGATGACATTTCCAAAAAGGCATGAAATATAATTGGCAAATAAACAGGGAACCTATTGAATAAGTAAATTTCTTTACTTTAAAATGGTTTTTACCAACATAAGGTCATGGATAAATGATTTAAAAAAAAGTTCTGCAAGGGCTAAGTATTAAAAGATATATAATTAAATAGTTTAACCTTGACCCCTATCCTAAAAGTATTCAGGGCAAAAATAGTCCCAATGCTAACTCATTTGAACCAGTTCAGACCCATTTTTAAAGAATCAAAATAGAGCTGGAAAGGACCATGGAGGTTTAGTCCAAACCCCTGCTCAAGCCAGAGGCCTGTACCATTTCAAACAAGTGACTGTCCAGTCTCTTCTTAAAAATCTCCAGTGATGAAGTACCCACAACTTCTGATGGCAAGCTGTTGCACCGG